AAAACTCGCGACTATCTGTGTTACGCGAATCGGGTCTCGTATTTCGCGTAGACGGTCGGGTTTTGTCTGGAGCTGGTCGAATTCTCTGTTGCCCCCCTCTAATGGTTATTTGCCACATCACACCATTGTCATCTTCTTCTAGATACCGCCCGTTGATTCTATTCTTGCGCTTTTTCTTCTTCTTGACCATTCCCTCTGGATGGACCTCTGGGCTACACGACTTTGGCTAGTATCTCTTCTTTTCCGGATGTGTACACCTAACTACTCGTTGATTCCTACACCCTCTCTGGATGTGACCTTGTTCGCCACATCTCCAACAACTCTGGTGGTGATCGAATCTGTTAATCACAATCGGATTTGTTGGTTTATGATTCTTTCTTCCTTGACTGGTTTTCATCGTGACGGACATAACCGAGTGTTGTTTCGGTGGCTTATAGGATGCTTCCTGTTTTATCAACTGATCATAATCGTCACACGACTTTATCAAACCGCTCACACTATCGAACTCTGCGCGTTTGATATATCTCTTATACTCTGGACGTAAATTATGATACAGACGTTCTAACTTCGCCATGTCACTCATCTTTCCGTGTCTTCTCATCAAGGTTTGTAAATTAAGGATATAATCTTTCGCAGACTCTTTTGGACCCTGAATCCTGCGACTAATCTCTTCTTCTAGCTGGATAATAACCTTTGATGGCAAATGAAATAATTTTAAATCTGCAGAAAATTCTTCCCACGTCTTCCAATCTCGCTTGTTGTTACGATACCATAACAACGCTTTACCTTTCAATAAGACGGGAATGCATTCAATAATCTCTTTATCACTGATACTATGTATTAAACTCAGTTCTTCTACTCGTTCTATGAAATTGAGCAAGCCTTTATTGCCATCAAAAGTTACACCCCACTTTCTCACCTGCTCTGCTATATACACTTCTTCATGTTCTACTGATTGATATTTACAATGAATCTGTTCGTTTTCTTTCTGTACATTATTTATAACTTGATTCTCCTTACTCGTCATATATACACTATTTATGCTAATTGCATCCCTATCTCTGCTACTTACATTGCCGATGTCTCTATTCTTCCTATATACAGTATTTACATCATGCGCCTTTTCTAACTCAGTGCGGGCTAATCTTTCAAATCTCGCTACTCTATGTACATTTGTGTAATCATCCCACCAACTTAACAATTTCTCTTCTGCTCGTTCGAGCCCTTGTTCTCTAGCCGCTTCTTCTTCTCGCTTTCGGATCTCTTCTTCAAACTCTGCTCTTATCTGTTGCCCTACTGTCCGCCGCAGCTCTATCTCGATTTCTTTTCTCTGTTTCTCAGCCTGCGCACGCGTAAGTCTAATTTCTTCCTCAGAGCCATCTCGTGGATGTAACATATCAGCTGATCGCGAAATTGATTTACTACGATTAAGACGACTAGATCTTCTAACTGTTGGTGTTGATTGAGTGGAATCTGCTGGATGCGCACTTTTATTCTTCATACTATCAATACTTTTCTCATTTACTCGTACCGCGCCTTCCATGACAGATAGTGATTTTGTGCAAATATTCCCTTAGCTCCCTAAAATCGACTTCTTTGATTAACCAGACTCTTTTATTCCTCTACCGTCGCGACCAAGTCAAATTTGATTGATATTTAAAAAGTTAAACAACAATATCGGTATTACTCAAGTCTCTAAAGGTAAAAAGTTGTACTGGAAAGAGAATATTGCGACAAATTAAAATATTTTACAAATATTTACAAAGTTAAAAATCTTCCGTGCAACAAATTTTACTTAGGTCTTTACTTTAAAAATTAAAAGATTTATCGAGCAACTAAACTCTATATCGATCGGGATACGAGACTCGATAAAAAATAAAGATATGCGATCAAAATATCACACGGGTGATTTAAAAAAAAATAATCAAAATAAAAATGTTAATAGTCAAAGTTTCAACGTCTTCAGATGACCAATACGCGACTCTAACAATCTGAAGGGGCTTATATTCGACTCTTTTCTCTACTACTTTGACTCTTCTCAGATATTCAAACGTGCTTCTAATCTGAGGTACACTATTTCAACTCGATCCCTGTTTGAGCGCCAAAATTTACCTGTGACGTTGCGGAAGGTTTGAAAGCCTCGTTGTGATAAACACGACTTCCCCGTGCTCAAGCTCGCCGTGTCCAGGGTCGGGATGGGGATCACGCAACACAGATAAACTTACATCTAACTAATATTAGCCAAATAATAACACAGATTCCAACTATAAGGTTAATTTATTCACCAAATCTCATAAAAATAATAATAAACTCAAATTCGTTATTGCAAACCAAGATACAATACAACTATACAATATTCAATACTCCATACATTACAAACCATAGACATACGTATTATCTTACTTTTACCCCAAAATCTAATATATACATTTACAATTATTCTCGACAAACCGTAACCTACTTTTTGACAAGCCGTGCTTCTAGTTTGCAGCCTACGGGACAACGCGTCGCGACCGCGGACCTATCTGTCTCCCCCTAGCCCCCTCTCTTAACCAAGAGAAGCTTGGTTACCAATATAGAGATACCGGGATCGTGTCAGGTACCCCGACGCCCAGCCGTATCTCCCCCTAGGTGTTCCGACGGAGAGTACCTCCCCATCCAGGTGTCGCCAACCTCCTAGCTTATATTCTCCAATTTCGTTTCGAGAACGACAGGTCGTGTACCACAACCTCGCCCCCCCCCACCAGTTCAATAGGGGCTATTCGGCGACCTAGGTACCCCGGGTCAGCCTGGTGACAAAAAGATCTACTGCGAGGACAGTTTATATAGAAAGTAATATTCTTACCTCCTATGCTGCTCAACACAGCACTCAAGACTTCTTCAGTAAGTGTACCACTCTCGTCAGAAGCTCAAGCTGATCTGGCAAAAAGTGATCAGAAAATCGCTTTTAACAGTTCTGGAGCAAGAGTCTGCGCGCGGACAGTCTGCGCTACACCGCGCTGCCTTACGGCGCGCGCGAGAACTATGCTCCTGGGTCTGCCGGCTGCTTCCCCTACTCTTGGCTTGTCTCCGGCGCTCCCGCCGTCTCTCTCTCTTCCCTTTCTTTTCTCGAGTAGGCTGCGCGCGGCTGTCTTTTCTCTCGCACTCACAATAAAATACTCTTATAAATTAATAAATAATACATTATTTATTAACTTTATATAAAATATAGCGGCGCGTCACAAAGTCGAGTCTCTATATGCCCTCAAATTTTTTTATCGTCCTTAAAAATCAAAGAACACCTCCTGAATTATTTTCTTTCCCTCTAAATCTTCATTGAACCTATTTTGACCTTGTATGACCTTTAAAAAAATTAATTAAAGTAGGTAAAATCTATGTTTTATGGATGAAGGCCAAGAAAATATGGTTTCTTTATGCCCTTAAATTTTCTCATAGTCCTCAAAAATCACAGATTTCCTCCTTAGTCATCCACTAAGCCTCTTAATTTTTATTAGTTTTATTTTGACCTTGAATGAAATTGATATATTAATTTAAGTAGGTCAAAAAAAACGAAATTTGTTGAGGCCCAAATAATCAGGTTTCTTGATGCCTTAAATGTTTTTTATGGCGCTTTAGAAATTTTATCGCACTTTCTGTGTCATCTCTGTCGCTTTTGATGTTTATTGAACGTAGTTTGACCTGAGTGACCTTAAAAAATATAAAAAAGTTGGTCAAACTCAAATAAAATTGATTTAGGCTTAAGAAATGACGTTTTTTCATGCCCTTTAATATTTTAATGGTCGTATAATATTACATGGTACCTCCTGAGACATTCTTCGCCCCTCTTAATTATTGATTAACCTATTCTGAATTTATATGACCTTGAAAAATTGATAAAAGTAGGTCAAACCCAAGTATTATCGATTGAGGCCCAAAAAATCAGGTTTTATTATGCCCTTAATTTTTTTTATAGTCCTGGACAATCACAGAGTACCTCCTCAGACATCCTACGTCCGTTTCGATATTTATTAAACCTATTTTGACCCTGCATGACCTTGAAAGATCAAGAAAAGTGTGTCAAACCAAAGGATAATTGATTAAGGCCGTAAAAATCAGGTTTCTTTATGCCTTAAAATTCTTTTATGGTCCTTAAAAATTACAGGGTACCTCCTGAGTCATCCTCTCTCTTTCTCGTAATTTTCATTAAACCTATTTTGACATTGTATAACTTTGATAAATTGATGAAAGTAGGTCATACACAAAAACGATTGATTTAGGCCCGAACAATCAGGTATCTTCATGCACTAAAATTTTTTTTTGGTCCTAAAAAATGGATGGGTACCTCCTTAGTCATTCACTGTCCCTCTCAACTTTTATCGAATCCGTTCCGACCTTGTATGACCTTGAAAATTCAATAACAGTAGGTAAATCACGAGTAAAATTGATTTGAGCACAAAAAATCAGGTTTTTATATGCCTTTATATCTTTTTTCGATCATATAGAATAAAAAAGTACCTCCTGAGTCATTTTCCGTCCCTCTGAATTTTTAATGAACCTATTCTTACTTTGTATGACCTAAAAAAATTAATGAAAGTAGGTCAAACCCAAGTACAATGCATTTAGGCCTAAAAAATGAGGTTTTTTTAATTCCCTCAAAGTTTTTTTGGTCTTAAAAATTCACAGAGTACCTCCTGAGATATCGTTTGTTCCTCTAAATTGTAGATAAACCTATTCTGACCTTCTATGACCTTGAAAAATTAATAAAAGTGGGTTAAACCTTAGTATTACCGATTGAGGCCTAAAGAATCGGGTTTTTGTATTCCCTCAAATTCTCTTATGGTCTTAAGTAAATACAGGGTACCTCCTGAGTTATCCTCCGTCCATCTAAATTTTTGATGACCCTATTTTGACCTTGTACGACTTTGACAAATCAATAAATGTAGGTCGAACCCAAGTATTATCGATTGAGGCCGTAGAAATCAGGTTTCTATAGGCCTAAAAATTTTTTATTGTCCGTAAAAATTACAGTGTTCCTCCTAAGTCATTCAATGTCTCTCTTTATTTTTATTGAACTTATTTTGACGTTGTATGAGCTTGGAAAATCATTAAAAGTAGGTCAAAACAAAGTACAATTAATTTAGGCCCAAAAAATCCAGTTTCTCTATGCCCTAAAATTTTTTGATTGACCTTCAAAATCAAAGGTTATCTTCTAATCATCTGCTCCCCTTTTTAATTCTTATTGAACCGATTTTGACTTTGTATGACCTTGAAAAATTGATAAAAGTAGGTCAAACCCGAGTATCATCGATTGAGGCCGAAAAAATCAGGTTTCTTTATGCCCTTAAAATTTTTTACGGTCTTATAAAATTACAAGGTACTTCCTGAGACATTCTCTCTCCCTTTTAATTTTTATTGAGCCTACTTTTACCTTGTTTGGCCTTGTAAATATAAAAAAAAATGTCAAACTCAATTAAATTAATTGATGCCAAAATAATCATTTTTTTTCATTCACTTAAATATTTTTTCCGTCATATAAAATAACAGGGTACCTCCTGAGTCATCCTGTCTCTTTCTTAATTTTCATTAAACCTATTTTGACATTGTGTAGCCTTGATAAATTAAAGAAAGTAGGTCCAACCCAAGAACATTTGATTTAGGCCCAAAAAATTAGGTTTCTCCATGCCCTGAAATTTTTTTATAGTCCTTAAAAATCGAAAGGTACCTCCTAAGTCATTTACTGTCCCTCTAAATATTTATCGAAGCCGTTCCGACCTTGTATGACCTTGAAAAATAATTAACAGTAGGTAAATGACGAGTAAAATTGATTTGGGCACAAAAAATCAGGTTTTTAAATGCCTTTAAATTTTTTTTTGTTCATATAGAATAAAAAAGTACCTCCTAAGACGTCCTACGTCCCTCTGAATTTTAAATGAACCTATTCTTACTCTGTATGACCTAAAAAAATTAATGAAAGTAGGTCAAACCCAAGTACAATGCATTTAGGCCTAAAAAATCAGGTTTTTTGATTCCCTCAAATTTTTTTTGGTCTTATAAATTCTTAGAGTACCTCGTGAGTTATCGTCCGTCCCTCTCAATTTTAGATGAACCTATTCTGACCTTGTATGACCGTGAAAAATAAATAAAAGTAGGTCAAACCCTAGTATTACCGATTGAGGCCCAAAAAATCGGGTTTTTTTATGCCCTTAAATTCTCTTATGGTCTTAAGAAAATACAGGGTACCTCTAGAGTTATCCTCCGTCCATCTAAATTTTTGATGACCCTATTTTGATCTTGTACGACTTTGACAAATCAATAAAAGTAGGTCGAACCCAAGTATTATCGATTGAGGCCTTAAAAATCAGGTTTCTATATGCTTAAAAATTTTTGATGGTTTTTAAAAATTACAGTGTTCCTTCTAAGTCATTCACTGTCGCTCTAAATTTTTATTGAACCTATTTTGACGTTTTATGACCTTGAAAAATTTATAACATTAGGTCAAAACCAAGTACAATTATTTTATGCCCAAAAAATCCAGTTTCTTTATGCTCTAAAATTTTTAGATCC